CCGCCACCACGCTTGACTAATTTTTGTATTTTTAGTAGAGACGCGTTTTCACCACAGTGACTGGGGACACGGTGTTGTGGTGGGGAAGGTGCCTGTTTTCCTCAGAGGACAGGAAGGCTGGGCCAAACCCGAGTTATAGTCCAATTGGCATCTTCAGAGCACACGAGTAAATCACCCCAAAAAGGCAGCACCCTGACCTGGCCTTGGCTGGGGAGTCCACAGGGGCCTTGGCAGAGCTTGTGTGGACAGTGATGCCTGCCCTGCCCACCTGCTGCAAGCCCTGTGCAGACCTGCAGACAGAAGCCCGAGGCCCAGAAGACACATTCTCCAGGGCAAGTGATGATGACAGAGGTTAACTTCAGTCCCTGAGACCCACCCACATCTGCAGACAACCTCACCTGTCAAAGGCTGAGCATGTTTCCGACTCACTTTCTCAGAGATCACTTTCTTTGGTGGACTTTGGACAGCCAGCGTCTGGGGTTCCCTCTTTCCTTGGCCACTTGGAACACCAGGAAAAAGTCTCTGCAGCACCTTCTCAACAAACACTGTATGGACAACCGACGAAAAGAAAAGGAAGAAAAGGAACCAGTTATGCAGTTTATCTGAATCACACATGCCTTTTACTCCACACAAACAAACACATCCTGAAAGCACCAATGGAGACCCAAGTCCCCGGTCCTCCCACTCTGGGCACTGCACACCAGGATCCCCCAGACTCTGCCCCTCAGAGAAACCCCTGAGGCCGGCCCTAGAGGACCCCCCACCATCCTGCCATCAACTGACCCTCTCCCCAGGGCATCACTCTGCGTCCAGTAGGCTGTGCACTGCCGGCAGGTGCTACCTCTGGCTCTAGGTCGCTTGGTTCCTCCCTGTGAGGTTGAGGCACACGCAGGCCGTGACCCGTCAGTGGGGCTGTGGTCCTGGGTGGATGGTGTCAGTGGCCCACAGCGCCTGGAGCCAGGTGTGTGAACGGAGCAGGTCTGGGGGGCCCTCAGGCAGGGCAGGCACCACCCCGCGCCCTCTGGGAACCCGTGGTCTGCACTTTCTCCCTTAAACTGAACGTGTCAACAACTGCAACTGGGGAGAATTCCGTGCACCTGACGTGGTTTAGCCACTAAACAGAGATTCTTTACTTTGTTTTTGTTTACACTGTTTAAACTGTGGGGACAAACTGTCATAATGAACAAATATTTCTGCCCTGACTTAAGTGTGGTTAATGAACAGCCATTGATCTCAAAATAGCATAGTGGATAAGGTGTGGGGAAAAGTTAATGAAATGAATTCTTTTAACCTCATAAAATTTAGAAAAAAAGCTGCTCTGGAATAACCAAAAGTCGCACAGCAGAAATCAGCACTCCTGACACAAGTAATTGGTGCCTTTAGGAACAGGGAGGCGGGGACTTGGCCTGACTGGAGGCGTGCAGGGATCTGTCATGGGCTCCCTGAGAGGAGACGCCGGGGGTGGCTTCTGGGCGAGGCAGGGAGGCTCCATGGCCCTACATGGGGACACTGTAGCCGAAGGCACAAACCCTTCCTAATTCTGGCCTCTCAGACAAACACGTGGTAGAAATCACCCTCCTACAGGCCCCGCTGTTAAGAACACTGTGTGGGTTTCCACGCAACGCTCCCCGTGTCCTCCGTGGATGGACCGTGAAAACCCTGAGCACAGAGCTCAGTGGAAGCGGGGTGCAGTGTGATCACGAACACGGGGGCTCTCACCTGAGACTCTGCACCTCCACGGCTCCCAACAAGTGAGCGCAAAGGCTCCTTCTGCTGGGAGGAAATGACCTCCGGTTAAATGGAAAACCTGAACTGAAACGAGGTGATCCCTAAGACCCTGGGGTCTTCACGAGGTCCTGGCAATGAGAGGGTCCCCATACGCTAGTTTTTGAATATGATGCACAAGTGCTCTAGCACAGGACACACCTCAAAAGCTCCTGCTGGCCGTGGTGAGCGGGTCTCACCCCTACAGAAAGGGCTTGCCTCAAGCACACCTGCCCGGAGGAGACACCTTGGCTCTCAGGGAGCAACAGGCGGTCTGTGAAATGCTTCTAAAAATGTACTGCAGTGCTCCCAGGTATGTTCAAAAGAAGGTTCCAAGACTTCAGATACAAATCCAATTGTCACATTTCCTTTAAATGTCAAAGAAGAAAATGTCCTGTGCGGATGACCGACCTGGTGATGAGCAGAGGAGATGGCGGGCAGATAAGATGAGCTTTATCCAACATCTTCACAAACCAGAACAAATTCGAAGACAAAACCGTAACCAGCCACCCAATTCTGCAAACAAGGACAGGGCGCTCAGAGCTAAAGCCTTGCTGGGCCTGGGGCAGCCAACGCAGACATGTGGCTGAAGTCGTCTCCCTAGGCCCAGCTGCCTGCCAGTGTCTGGAGCTAGGAAAACGCTACGGAGAAATCCCAGGCGATGGTCAGAGCCAGGCAATGCAGCAGAACGCCTGAAGCTGGGCAGGCACAAGACAGTCCCAGGGAGTGGGGCAGGCCCTGACTAAACAGCCACCGCCAGGAGACGCTGGGCCCAACCAAGCATCAGATGACAGAGTTTGCCGAAACACGGCAGCTGATCCCAAAGAAAATGGCACAACACACCAGGACGCGGGTCGGAGCGCACTGAGACACCGCACAACACAGCAGGGCAGGGATCGCAGCGCACTGAGACCCCGCACAACACACCAGGGTGTGGGTCGGAGCGCACTGAGACCCCGCACAACACACCAGGGCGCGGGTCGGAGCGCACTGAGACCCCGCACAACACACCAGGGCACGGATCGGAGCGCACTGAGTCTGGCCCCAGGTAACAGTCTTTCAAGGCTTCCTGAGGCAGATTTCTGAGCTAAAAGCAACATAAGAATGTGCCTAAAGAAAAAAGATACGTAGGGAGCATTTTCACTGAATTCCATCCAGTGCCTGCAATAAATTACATTTATAGCCTAAGTAACAGTGGTTCTCTAACAATACTGTTAAATTTCATGTTTCAAATGAAAACATCTGATATAGGTGTACTGTACATTCAGAATTTTTATAAAAATTCCAAAATGGAAGTAGAAGGCGGGAACAATCTAAAGTCAGCTGGCTTCAAATTCAGAGTGACAGCTGGCAGGGGTTTCTCCGGGATAACTGACAGGGCAGAGGCCACCCTGGGAGTCACAGGCTCCGCCTTCTGTAACACGGTCATTTCTCTCGGAAGAGACTTACATGATCCCAGCCTCACGACCTGAATGCCAGGAATCAATCTGCTGGCGCAGCGTGCAGGGCCCACAGAACCGCAAGGCCTCTGGGTGTTCAGCCTCTAGGATTTCTGCAATTCCCCTGCAAGCCTGCTGAGGCACCGCAGGAACAGATTCAGGAAGGGTGGTTCCCAGAACCATGCAGACCAGGGAGTCCAGGCCACATGCTGAGGCCGCAACACCCTCCTAAGGAGCTTCCCCACAGACCACCTAGGCAGGTCCTGGACTCACTTCTCACCGGGAGCCCAGGGCCTGGGGCCACTGCCAAGGCTGACAGCCTGACCTCGGGGCTTTGCCACATGAAAGCCCCAGGCCTGGCGAGGCTCAGGGAGGTCGTTTCAACGTG